GTAGATAGTGTATAACTTGAGAATATTAATATAAAGAAAAATATAACCATGCACTTTAGTTATAAAATATGTAAAATATAATAAATAGTAAAACAAAGAAACAAAATTAATGCTCTAAATTTTAAGACACTAATGCTACTGATACTGTTAATAAAATACATTTTTTTAAAGTATAAAAAAAACATTTACCGATATTTTTCCCAGATATCACTTTTGTAACCGTGAGATTCTGAATATATCTTGTCCAAGGTAAATAAATTAGGATAGCTATAAGCAAATATAAATACATGCATTTTAAAGTAAACATAAAGATTCAACGTTAGTCTATAGTAATGAATTACATGAATTTATCTGTATTATTGAAAGAATTTTTAGAGTCCTCTTGAGATGCATTGAAATTAAATATGTTGGGAATAGCTCTATAAAAAATTTAAATAAGTTACAAGTGTAAACAAACTTATTTAAAGCATAATACTTTTCTCTATTTGTTACACTCGATGGATATGTAACACCATCTAATTGATTACATTCTGGTGTAATAAATATGTTTGGGATATTTCTGAAAACAAATTTACATTTATTTAACAAAATAATTTGAYACATTTCAATTATTCATTACTTTTCTCTGTCGACAATATCTGATCGGTCAWTAACAGGATACACAGAATTTCTTTTTTCAAATAAACTTGAAGTGTCTCTGTAATTATAATTATGTTAAATATGTTAATAAATATAAAATAAATATATATTACTTTTCTTCACTTAAAATATTTAGAACTCTTGAACTGCATATAGTAGACATTGTGCTTGATTTTTATTTCTAAACATATAAAAAATATATTTATACACATACGTTTTAAATGATATAATGGGTCACATTCTCAGAAACACCATGCTAAGTGTACAGTACTTTTGAGACATAGTTTATAGATAAATGTGGACTACAAAATTTCAAGTATAAAATATACTAAGCAATTTAAGATACAAAAGTAATCAAAAACAATAATAGGCATCTAGAAAAAATAATTAGATTACATGTACATTGATGAAAGATATTTTCACTACTGAAATAGAAAATTTTATCAGAGGTAATAATTCAAGAACTTTTAGATCAAAATTGAATAAGTTTTTTTAGGTTTTTACCCTTACATTTTATTTTTGACAATCAATTATTCTTAAACAATTGCCATCCTAGCCATGCCCAAAGTTGAAAAAAATAATAGACTGGAACAATTAAGACACACAAAATAGCGTAATATTCAACACTAGATAAATCCATAAGACAGCTTGCTTAAAATCTGCAAAAAATATAATTAAATACAAAAACATGAGCAAACAAATCTTTATATAATCATATAACTACCATACCCTTGATTCAGTCATTATAAAAACTTAGTTTCAAACTTAAATACTTGTTATCAATGTGAAACTTTTTAAAGCACGGTAGCGTAAGTCGTGTTCATGGGTTCAGATTTTGAGACTAAAAAGCATCCGGGTGCGGACACTAAAGGGTCCAATTAGGCGATCAGATGTTGCCGGACAGTCTTCATATTTCTCCTAATAAAATAGATTCCGTAGCTAGCAAACTAGGGGAACTGACTGGCTAGGAAAATATGTCACTATCTGTTTACCACAATCCACCTCTATATAAAATAAAAACCTGGTAGCAGTTTCCAACCGTTTAAATCAGGTAGTCAGTTTGGACCCTTAAGTTCCTATGGCAATAAATAATAATCAATTTGTCTTATTTATGTGTAATAATAATTTATTAATTTCAATTAAAAACTTTATTTCTTTATTTTTCCATTTCAAACTTAATATTAGAATGTAATGAACCTTCAATTCATGCCTTCTGTAAAGAAGTTTCACTTCACCCATGTGTAATATCTATTGCAACATGCACAATTTCTTCTTTTTTTTTTTAATAGGTATAATATACCTAAAGAAAAATTTATCTAAAATTGGTATTTGAAATACCTAAATATTAATTGTATTTATAATTCCTACTATTTTATAAATTCAGAACTCTAACCTTAATTCCAAGAATTGTATACATAAGCAATATAATTATATATACAATATATACACAGGAAATATTTAAATCCTCAATTTAATATTTTTTATTGAACTAAAACATCAACTATAAAAAAGAATATTGAACTCTTAMACTTAATTATTTTTTATAGGAAAAAATGTAGAACATATCTAAATAAAATATAATGAGAAATATGTCCCATAAAATTTAAATCACGCATGACACACATACCTGAGATTGTATTTTTTCCACTAATGAAATCAAATACAAATAATTACTTCGATGAAAAATTCAATTTATTTTCCATACACTCTAAATTTTAGAATTTAGGAGAAATGGAATTAAATAACATTTTATGCAACAAGAAAATAGTACACTACAACACTCTAAACTTATTTGGTAATTACTAAGATTCTAAATTTTAACTAGGGCACTACAAAATATACAGTGCCTTACTTAAACTATTATGAGTCATTATTTTTATTCATATTTTGATATTCAAAGTTAAACAATTTTGTTTAACTAAAAATTACAATTAGTAGTTAGTACAAACCGCAGAAAAGAATAATATACTGATTACTGACTACTGACGTCTGACAGTTTGAATTTGACATTACGTATTTATATACATGACTTTATCAGACACTATTTTACGTTTTCTATTATCATATTATATTCCATAGATAATGTGATAATATGATATAACCACAATATTTACCATAATTAAAACGTATTATTGTTTACTACCAAACCTATGTGTTATGTCTATGGTTTATACCACTTGGATAAATAGCATAGTAGACATCACGATTTAAGATATATCTTAATCCATGTCTTAAGCCATGTGGTAAACATGATAAATAGAGATAATAGCACTACAAAGTACAAAGACATGATAAGAAGGCAAAAAACCGGGAAAACATAAGCATAAAGTAAATAGCACTGTTAATATTATTTATTGCGATATTGCTATAATATAGTGCCTACAACTTTACTGTCCAATAGTTGCCTAAAGTAATATTAATAATTACTTATTCATCGTTCGTTTATTATCACATGTAAATTAACAATTTTTTGCTTGTYGCGTCGTTATCGCTTTTAACTCAACTCACACTTCACACTTTCACAGTCACTTAAAGTATTTAAAATTATATAACCGTTGTTGCTACAATAAAATAATATGGAATCCACGACTATACCCACACGGTCATTTGTTAACGGTTCTTTCTTGCAAAAATTCACCGACAAACCCGTTACATTGATCGGAAACGTGTTGAAGGTATTGTATTTATCTAGGTCTTATCTACATAGCATTATTACATGACACTKGATTGAAAATGTTTGTKTTYTTAGGTGAGTCCTGATGGTAAATCAGTAACGATGCAAACAACAGATGATCATGTGGTGACTGTTAATTTTCATGAACCGATTGACAGCTCTCTAGATGGATGGGTCGAAGTTCACGGTTTGGCTAAAGATAAAGGCACTGTGGCTGGAGGAAGTTACTACAATTTACCATCATCAATAACTGATGATTTTGGTATGTACTAAATTTATGAATGTTAAAGTTTAGAGTGGTAATCMAGTYATAAGCTTAAAAATATTATTTTTATCACTCGCTATGACCTTAAAAAAATTTGCTGTTAAAAATGTTTTTCTTGGACGTACTCCAATTCTTCATTAATATTGTAATCTAAAACTAAAATGTATAAAACATTAATGAACAACCAATTTTTGATAGTTAAAAGTAATCTATTTAAATCAACAATTAGTGATTATTAATTTACATTAAATGTTTTTTTTTGTTTGTTTGTTTAGATAAATCACAATTTAATGAAGCAGTATTACTATTATGCAACCTGCCTAACCCCTTGAAGTAATAAAAGGCAATGAATTGTTGATTCAGACTTTAA